CTAATATCCAGCACACCATGCAATGTGTGTCTGCACTCCTGGTATGGATGACTAGGGACTGGGTATTTAGCAGTCCTGGGCTCCCACTCCCTCCCAGCTTTGACTCCTATCCTCCCAAGGGTGCGCTGGGATTGGGGGAGCGCTTGGGTCCCCCCGGGCTACAACTTGTATCTTACCCCCTTCGTGAAGTGCCGAGTTCTTGCAGATGGAAATGTAGCATGACTGTTGTACTATATCTTCTGGTCTCTCTTTTAGGAATAGTTGTATTTGTTGTATTTTCAAAAATATGTATGGTTTTGGGAGGAGATTTCCGCTGCCCTACTCTCACAACCATCTTGGCTTCTCCTTCCAATGTAAAGACTTTTAAGGACAAGTATAAAGGATTTTAAAGAATAAATAAAAATTAAATGTCAAATTCTGATTTTATTGCCAAATAACTTTACAGGGTATATGTTAAGTTTTCTTGTGGAAGATACTGAAAAATCTCTAGATAATTAGTTTAATTGGCTTGATTTTATAATTAAATTAAATAACATTAACAATGACAGCAAGAACTATTTGTTCAGTAATGTTTTGGGGGAGTTGGGATTTTGAGGTTTAATTTGCACACAGTAAAATGTACTCTTCAGGATTGTAATAGTCCTCTGTATTTTGGCAGTTGTGTACAGTAGTATAAACACTGTCACATCTGAGATAGAATATTTCTATCACCTCAGTGAGCTCCCTTGTACTCTTAATTACAAATTTAACCTAAAAATGTTGTGGAAGAAATGTGAAAATCTAAATGTCTTTTATTGGAATATCATTTTTAAATATTTAAAGAGCAAAATTTTTTAATAACATTGAAAGTTATTTTAAGTATGTATCTTCCCTACATAATTGTGATATCACTACCAACCACACTGTTCCAAGAAAATAATCATTTCTGCTTATAGCTCCCTCAACAAAAACGTTACTAGAGTATTTTAAGATAACATTGTATCATATTGAAGTACTTCATCTTTGAATATTACAGAAGAAAATTCCACAAGACAGAGTGAGGATTTGGGAAGCCAGTTTACAGAAATTTTCATTAAACAGCAAGAAAACATCACTCTCCTTTTATCTTTATTGGAGGTAAATAAAGAAACTTGCTATTTCTATCATCTTAATAAGTTTCTTTTCTTGCCTTTTTGGGTGTTACTGAGGAAGCAACATACCCATGCCTTTTTAAGGTATGGAAATTCGCTGTATCATTGGAAGAGATTCATATGTGTATTTTAAGAACTATATAATCTGTTAAAATACAGTCTGGTTCTTGTGTTCAGTTTTACAAAATACTGTTTTTTCTAATCGGTTGCAGCTTAATCAGTTTAGTCAATTTACATTAACTTTTTCTCAAATTAGTTTTTCAAGTTTACTTTTTTTTTTTTTACAAAAAGAATTTGGTAGTTTTGGTACCATTCTTAGTTGAAAAAAATGTTTTTCTTGAAAATTGGAATTATAGATATTAGCTATTTTAAATTCTTATATTGTAGGAATTTGATTTCCACGTCCGCTGGCCTGGTGTGAAGCTTCTTACTTCCCTTTTAAAGCAGCTAGGGCCTCAGGTGCAGCAAATTATTTTAGTCAGTCCCATGGGTAAGTGACTCTTCTTCCTTATATCATTTTGATTTAAAAGTGAGGATCATTCCTAAACAGGAGGACTGAAATGATGTGTTAATAAATTATTTAATTTGAATCACTGTATTTTTGATCTGCCAGTATTTTTCACATGGTTATATGTTCTAGGTGTTTCCAGACTGATGGATCTATTAGCAGATTCCAGGGAGGTTATCCGTAATGATGTAAGTTAAATTTGAAAAAGAAGTCTAAAAATTTGCAGTTTTGTTTCTCTCTTTGCAAATGAAATCTTTGTTGATCTTTATTCAGAGTTCTAAGAAGTTGGATTTGGAAAGCTGGGATAATGGCCATTCTTTTAGACCTTTTTAAGTTATATACAAGGCCACATTATTTCTTTGTTCCCTGCCTATCCAATATTTAGGCTTAGACAAATGGTTTTGCTATTCAAGCTTATGCTTTCTAAAATTTAGGATTCTTTTTATTCTTGTCTGAAAGGTTGTGTTGACACCAAACTCTAACTCCAGAAAGAGTAGAGGAAACATTCCCAGACATTGAACTATGTAAACTTAAAGCATTACATTTGGAATCCTCACTGTCATTTGATTGAATATGTATTCAAAGGATTTTCCTTATATTCACTGTTCAACCATAGAGCACAGTTTGCTCAGGAGTTATTTTCCATTTTGA